TCTCTCTCTCTCTCTCTCTCTCTCTCTCTCTCTCTCTCTCTCTCTCTCTCTCTCTCTCTCTCTCTCTCTCTCTGTGTGTGTGTGTGTGTGTGATTTTGCAAAAAGGAGAATGCATTCTGATTTTGCACATTTGGTGCGTGGTGCGGCGAGGCCCATCATCCGCCACTTGTCATCGGGATGGTAAAGGAGTTGCGCTTGTGCATCCCCCCACTTTCTTCCTCCTCATAGTCTGCATGCGTAATGGGCCTCGCTCCACTACTCACCAATTGTGCAAAATGAGAATGAATCTTCAGCTAGAACATGGAAAGAAAAAACGCCATATTTTTTGTCTTTCGTGCATGTGGGGAGTAGTGGCGCGAGACTCAATGACTGGCTTGTTGCGTATCCACTGCACAACAGCCCAGACGGTGAGGCTATCAATCACGCGTGCAGATGACTGGCCTCTTGTGTTGTTGTGTGTGTGAGAGAGAACGAGTACGCGGCTTGGGTGTGTTTGTATGCATGTGTGGCGCTGTGTGTGTGTATGTCTGTGTGTGTGTATGTCTGTGTGTGTGTATGTCTGTGTGTGTGTATGTCTGTGTGTGCACGTCTGGATGTATTTTATTTATTTTGTTGGGTACGCTTTTGCCCGGGTATGTGGCAAACTGGATACCACCATGTAGATATCCCACTTGCAGCCAACTTTTTTTTTTAGTTGTCCTCTGACAAGCGATCATGGACATGCTCACACAGAAAGAGAGGGAGAGAGAGAGAAAGAGAGAGAGAGAGAGAGAGAGGAGAGAGAGAGAGAGAGAGAGAGAGAGAGAGAGAGAGAGAGAGAGAGAGAGAGAGAGAGATGGAGATCACTGCACCGAGGGAGAGGTAAACGTGCTTCGATTTGAACCTGTTCCATCGAGATAAATGACAACACACACACACACACACACACACACACACACACACACACACATGAGTAGATAAAGGCTACATAAGAAAGAACGCTGACGAGGCTAGACTAGGTCGTCGTTGCTGGAGAAGAAGAAGAAGGGCGAGGACGTGGCGATGGAGAGGGCGACTAAGATAGATCGCCTTTCTGACGTCACGATGGAGGGGGGTAAGGAGGAATGGAACGGGAAGATGCAGGAAACTCACCGTGGGGAGAGGACGGGGTCAGAAGGCGATCCCCGATCCCCTTTCCGACGTAGCGAAATGACTGTGGGGTCACGATTTCGAATGAAGACAAGCAAAAAAAATACTGTGAATTCGGGTTCCCATTCAGCCAGATTGGTGGGTGAATGGGCCTGGGTTGGTGGGTGAATGGGCCTGGGCATGTCGCAAATTTGGGCAAACCGGGTCGAAAACGATTTGGTTCGGGACAGGCTGGGTGCGAAAGAGGGGTAGAATGCAAACTCGCGCCCTGAGAGAGCACTATTACGCAAAAGATTTCAATTGATACAGCACTATTGCGCAAATATTTAAATCGAGCAGGGTATTTTACAACCTTGTAGAATGTCGGGAGGGCTATTCCGCTATATCCACAACTGTGAGGGCTATTTTAGCATACATGCACAATTTCAGGGGTATTCGCAAACTTTTCCAGGAAAAATAAAAGAATGTATGTACCCGTCTCATGACCACCAGTACTTTTGACCCTTTCCTTGCCAAGCCTGGAAGCTCCCAAAAGAAAACCAAACTGGCACGGTCCTTCTTCTGGTTGCTGTCGCCAGCCATTTTGCACCAGTACCTTTCTCAGCTATTGAAGCCGAGCCTGAATATGCCCTGTGCGCCGACTTTTGCCGAGACTGGACCCTCTAGTGACGTTTTCGTAAATGGAGAGTACCATAGTACCAACCGATTTTGGAACTTCGGCCTCCTGGGATGTTTGGGAGCACACACAAGAAGGTCCCACCATACCATACACGGTGGCCCTTCTGTCCGTACCCTTGTTATGTTTGATTGGTAATTTTTGAAATGCCCCTGAAGTTTGTGTTATTTGTGGTTTGCCCTCCAACGGCCGACTTACCTAATATGCCCCTGGGCAAACTGACGGGGCTGTACCGAGGGGGAGGGGGACTGTTGGCACCCCTCTGTCCCTCCAGTCGGTCCCAGGGTCGGGACCGACGACAAAACCAAAAGGGATAATCCTGCGAAACCCTCAACCCCTTGGTTCCTCCAAACTGCTCCCATACCCCCTTATTGCCAATTGCTGGCCTTAATCCACAAACTTGTTGTATAGTAATCAAACACCATAACCAATAGTGCTATGCCCAAGGCTGGCTTGAATATTAGTGGAAACCTATATAAACAGGTTCGCCCACTGCACAGCCTTACTAAACACCCCAGAGCCGCCTTTTGGTTTGCCAGTTGGGTTTTCAACCGCCAAAGCTGGCACCTTTGCAACACAGGCGTCGGGGTCTACCTACGACCCGCTCCTACACATGATCAACTAAAACTGATCTTTCAATCCTAATTTTTAATCAAAGTTTAAACTGTTTAACCACGGATATTAACCGTCGGTATGCAATAACTCTCATACGCGCCTTAGACTCGCGTGCTCACAGACTCTCTAATCTTATCTCGCGCTCGCTCGTTGTCCTGCTACAGGGAGTCGGCCGCGGTCGTGTAATACTTACGTAAATACCTACTTTTTATACCATCTCAAGTGCAACTTGTACAAGGTACAAATATACGTGCGAATACCCTTGTAAAGGTATTCACGAACACTCTTGTAAATGTATTCGCGAACACTCTTGTAAATGTATTCCCGAACACCATTGTAAGGGTATTCACGCCGACATCTCACCAAAGGGTCATCATACTCGAGTATTAGGTATGGTGGTCCTGACCTGAACGCATGTTAAAGGGGTTATCAAGACAAATGGTATGAGGCGGGACGAATGAGGGATGTCGGACTGAAGGGAGGTCTGTCAACCCTAGCCAGTGATGGCCCAAAAGTAAGGCAACCGATGATTTATGAGTGTGAACAACTGTTTATGTTATTTATTATTTTATTATAAATTTTATTTTCATTTATTTGATTTAATTGTTGTGTTGACTATTTTTTGTCAGGGAACTTGCTTGTTGGGATCTTGGTTGATGGTTTGTGAAACTTGTTGTTTTGCAAGTTTATGCAGATTCACTTAAAATTTTCAGACCAGAGAAGAAAAAAAAAGTTTGGTATCCCTTTTGATTATCTAAGAAGTTGAGAAGACACTTCACTCACATCAGAAAAAGAAAAAAAAAATTGTTATCCCCTTCGGTTACTTTAAAAGTTAAAAAGACGCATCACTCAAACCAAAGAACAAAAACATGGTTAGTCAAGTGCGGAGTGGATAACTGCTGAAAGCATCTAAGTAGGAAGTTCACCTTAAGATGAGTGTTCTTGCTTATTCAAGCATGTCCTTCCAATATCCCATAGGGAATAAATAGGGCATGGATAAGGTCACGACAAGACAAGTCGTTTTTCACAATAGGTGTCAGGTATAAGTGTAGTAACGAATGTAGCTGAGGTATCCTAACAGACCGATAGTCCACCTTAAGATGAGTGCTCTTGCTTATTCAAGCATGTCCTTCCAATATCCCATAGGGAATAAATAGGGTATGGGTAAGGTCACGGAAATACGAGTCGTTTTTCACAATAGGTGTCAGGTATAAGTGCAGTAATGCATGTAGTTGAGGTATCCTAACATACCAATCTCTCTCGGTTTGTTAGGATACCTCAGCTACATGCATTACTGCACTTATACCTTACACCTATTGTAAAAAACGGCTCGTCTTGACGTGACCTTACTCATCATGCCTTATTTATTCCCTATGGGATATTGAAAGGACATGCTTAAATAACCAAGAGCACTCGTCTTAAAACATCACTCCCCCTGCCACCACAAAATACCGATTCCTGTGAGTTAGGTGCGGGGTTTTCGGTAGGTCGGCGTCTCGGGGGCGGAGTGAGGGGGGGGTCAGGACCAACGTCCCACGGTGGTGGACGTCAGACCCTTTTCCGGGAGGCAACCAACTGCTTGTCTATTGGGTATTTGATAGCAAGATTGTGCTCTCGGCCTTGTAAATACTGCTATTGACTGCTTCGAATCACATGTCATTGAAATAGCTCATTGGAAACCAATCAAGCTAGTTGAGCACAGGGGCAACTCTCGCTGCAGTCAACAAATCACCTAGATACAAGCCCGCTGACTGAACAATGAGTTTAAAGTTTTATTTTTAACCTATTTTATTACAAGACTATGACGTGGCGATCAATACAACAGTTCTTCAAGATGAACGAGAGAGAGGTGATCAGAGCAGAGCAAGTGTGATTGCAAGGGATTTAATGAGGTGATACAATTGGTAAAATAAATTTCTAATGATGTAATAATGATTATAATTTTTTATTAAAAAAATATATTAAAGATTCGTCTCCACACGTGCCAAGGGCATTTAAAAACGAGAAGACGGACTATTGCGATTTTCATTCTGATAAAGTTTAAACATCATAAGGTTCAGTCGCGCACGATCACCATTTTGAGGTACGGGTGGTTTTCCTTGGTTCCCTGTGAAGTTCGGTGTAGAATAAAAGGGGAAGCAGAGAGAGGAACCTCAACTTCCCTCTTGTATATGTATGGGGTTCAAACGAGTTTTGATTTCAGAACCTTTTGATCTTCCGTTAATATATATATATATATATTTATTACTGATTAACTTTTCAAAAAAAAAATTGTTGGTATGGTGTTTAAGTGGCTATTCACTTCATCACACTACAATAGGTAGTATGTGGGGACCCTAAGTGACGGCAGCACATTGCTAAGCATTTACCTCAGTATTTATTGTCTATTTTATTACATTATTATTATTTTTTTTTTTTATAGGTTTTTTCAGAACTGAATTATTACTTCAGTGATTCAATGGTCTCCAATTGGTGACACTGCTACGGACAACATGAGGCATCCCTGGGTGAAGGCAACAGTTGCAGAGCATTTTACAGTTCTTTTAATATTTAATCTCATTTCATTATTATTTACTCAAGGTTGGGTGACTCGTACTGTGGTGGAGTGATATTCGCATATTCACATTGTAGTGCGCAGCGTGTGTAGCGACTCTAAGTGAAGGCGAACCCTTGTCACATACTGCTCAGAAGTGACTTGATACTTGAATTATTTTTATGCAATTGAGATATTAGTTGCGTGATCAGGAGATTGTTGTTTGACTACTCGGGAGTGACCGACTTGTGTGAGGACCCTTGGACTATTGCTTAGCGTGTTCAATTATTTAGTTGTTTTGACATAATTCGGGCTAAACTTTTGTAACTACTCTCTGGTCGAAACTAAACATTTGTGTTTAATCACCATTTCTGATTAGCGCAGACTACACCCTTGTGCAATGTTAGAACAGGGGGTGTGCAAGTTGCATCCCTGTGTTGTATCGAACAGATACAACATTAGCTTTACCCATGGACAATATTAAAACAGGGTTGTGCAGTGAACATCTGCTACTTGGATAATTTAGTTAATTAGGTTTAAGTGATGCTTGCTGCAAAACAGATTAGAGCACAATGGACGGGGTTGGTCTCCATAGAAGAGCATCAATTAGGTTGTCGGGTGGGGTTTTATTGCATTGTCCACATCAGTAAAAACTTGGATAAAATGACAAAGCATACATGAGCGTCTATGGAAGAGGGCAACAAATAATCACAAACTGCAACTCAAAAGTAGCCGCTGCAATAGAAAATCGGGAACTTAATTTATGTATTATTTACTCACCCTTGAGCTCATCACATATAACAAAGTTGACCTCTCATAATAGAGCATACTTAGTTGAGAAGGATTTGGATAGCTTGAGAGAATGTGAGAAACAACTCTTCGCATGAGGTTTTGAAAAGTGTTATAATTAAACCACCCGTACCTACTGATTGTCAATGCCCGTGGCTCAGGCTACCGGTAGCCAGGTCATTGTCGAGCCCCAGATTTTATTGTTGAGCCTCGGACAACCGGTAGTACACAATGAAAAAAAAAAAAAAAAAAACACAAAAAAAATATACAACATTTTGCAAAAAAAAAAAAGAAAAAAAAAGCCAAAACGAAATGAGACATGCCCAACGAGAATGAATCTTCCTAAAAAAAGAGGAAGATTCATTCTCGAAAAAAAGGAAGATTCATTCTCGTGAGAGAGAGAGACGACGTCATACGTTGGTTGACGCTCTTTCTCTCTTTCTCTCTCACAGAGCCAACGATCACGTGAAAGATTCATCTCATTTCAACGTTTTTTTTTTTTTTTTTTTTTTTTTCCCTCTCTCTCTCTCTCTCTCTCTCTCTCTCTCTCGTTCTTCCCGCCCTTCCTCCGCCCTGCTGCGCCCGTTTCTTTTACGTTGCTACTTTACATTTTCGGAGCCGTTTTTTTTTTTTTTTTTTTTTTTTCGCCTGTTTTTTGGGAACTACCGGTCGCCAGTCAGTGGGTACCCCGCGCGACGCGACTCGTTAACGGCCACGTCGGATTATCCAAGCAGGGCGAGGTACAGGTGGTTTAATGAAGACTATTTCATTTTTGGAGACGAAGTCAAAAATCGAACACTGCAAGACTCAAGGAAACATTATTTCAAGCACTTTGACCGTTCGGATCTTCGATTGATTAATATTCAGACATAACGAAACATAGATGCGCGAGCAGGGTTTTCCAAGTGGGCGGTTTCAACCTCGTTCTATTTCTCTATGTATTCACACAATTTTACTATGATTAGGTGTGCTCTGGAGGCAGCTATCACGACATTACCTCAATATAAGCGATTATTTATTTATTGAGGTAGCGTAGTGCAACCTTATATTCATAGTGAGCTTTGGAGGCAGCTTTCACTACGCCTGATAGTGAAAGCTTATATTAAGGTAGCATAACGAAAGTTTGCATTGAGGTTCCCTGATAGTGAGCTCTGGAAGCAGCTTTCACTACACTACCTTAATATAGGCGATTATTTATTTATTTTGTATTTATTTATTTATTTATTAACGAGATAATAGTAAATCATGCCATTGAACAGTATTCAAACTGCATGGGTATAGTACGTACTTTTATGTCAAAATCGACCTGATGGTGTTAGAACTGTAGCCTCGTGTAGTATTTGAATAGGGGCAATGCGGAAATGCACCATATGTTGCACCCCATGTTTTAATTGAACAAAATGTGAGTAAGCAGCACACAACAAAGTTGATCCGTGTTCCACAGACTTTGCACGTTTGGGGTTGTAATTAGCAGGTTCATGTTATATTCAACGAACCTGGCCTGTTACTGGTCGGATATTGACTCAGCCTCAAGTCTCATAAGATGTTGGCGATGCACAAGTTATTGAACAAGATTCACCTTGTAGACCCATTATTAAAATACTCGAAATGAAGTAAAAATTATTGTGATTAAGCTTGGGAGTAGACACAACAAACACGAATGATGAACTACCTCAGCGGAAGCTGACCCCAATAGTCTCAGCCTAAGGAAGCCAACATACTTATTTTATTTTCAGTTAAATTATTCATTGTTTTCACAAATGGAAGTGGATTTCATTCATTTTCAACGAACTTAGTCTAAATTTAATGATTTTAACCTTATTTCTACGAAATCGATTAAGTTATTGCAAACTCAATTCAGTTTCAGTTAATAGAACTCGGTCTCAACAAGATCAACCTACTCTGTGAGAACTCGACAAACACAATTTGATTGTGATTTAACTTTACTGAGACACAGTTCAATTAAGAGACACATTTTTGTTAAAAAAACTTTGAAGAGGTACGTACCTCAGACAACAATTAAACATGTGTGAGAATAAATCTTATGCAGTGAGAATGAACCCAAAACATACTTAGTGCGAAGGATAAAACGGAATTTATCTTGAGGTCAAACTCGACGCAGTGAATTCAACACAGTTTATCTTAGGTAAGTCTCAATATTGAAAGATAGTTTTATCTGCAGAGTTAAATAACTGCAACAAATTAAATTTATCACAGTACCACATTAGTGATAGTTGCTTTATCTCGGAAACTAAGTTGTATAAAAAAAAAATCAACTCAAACTCGGGCAAAAGTTGAGATCTCGGTAAATCTTTGACAAATAGCATTAATTTTCATTAAAAATTTTAGGAAGTTTAGTTCCGATACAATTGATTAGATTTAGTCTTAGTATGCATCTCAGTTTGAATAAGCTTTGCTTGGTGGACTTAATCTCTGCAAATATCAACTCAGTTTCAGTAAGTTCAATGAAACCAGTTTCACATTTTTCAAGTTCGATTCAATTTTTAGTGAATTTCACTTCAGCCTTAGTGAATTTTGTAGTAAGTTTAGTTCAATTTTCATTTTATATCTAAGTGCGGCTTTGAGGGAAAACATCAATTCAATTTTCAGTTCGGTCTCAGTGAACCTGGTGCTAATAAGTTTGATTTTCAGTTTCAATGAGCTTAGATTCAGTGAACCCAGTCGATGATCTCAAAGTACACTAAGTTGGTTTCATCCTCAAGGGAGGACGGTGGTCACAACGAGCAGTTCCGGTAACAACAGCGGCAGTGTTGGCCACAGTGGGAGGTCCCGATGGTAGCAGTCATGGCATTAGTCACACCGGGCAGTTTCGGGGTGACAACAGTGACAATGCTGGCCTCATCAAGCGGTGCAACGGGCCTTTATCTGCCCTGGCCTACAGCTAGGGCCTATTTGGTTATTTGCCTTGTTCGGCCTGTAGGACCAGGCCGTAGCCTGACCCCACAGGCCGTGTGTTGTTCTAGTCGTGCCCGGTACCACTGTCGGTACTAGGCCAGTCCAGTCCAGTCCAGTCAATCCGTTGGGGGTATACCCCAACTGCAGTTTGTTTTGTGACTCATTCTTCATTTGCACAGATTGGAGTACGTGCGTGTTGAGTCTGCGTTGGAGCTGCGCTGTCCCTTCCAGCTCCATCTCCATCTCCCCCCATCATCATCCCTTCGTCTTGATCCTGACGGACCGCCATCCCGGCGGGTCCGTCACACTGGTATCAGATCAGGCTTTCCTCCCTGCTCCTCTCCCCCACC